CTATCTATCTATCTATCTATCTATCTATCTATCTATCTATCTATCTACCTACCTATCTATCCATCTATCATCTAGCTATCTCCTATCTATCTATCTATCTATCTATCTATCTATCTATCTATCTATCTATCTATCTATCTATCTACCTATCCATCATCTAGCTCTCTTATCATCTAGTTATCTCTTATCATCTATCTATCTATCTATCTATCTATCTATCTATCTATCTATCTATCTATCTATCTATCTATCTATCTACCCATCTATCATCTAGCTATCTCTGTCTGTCTGTCTGTCTGTCTGTCTGTCTGTCATCTATCTAAAAGCAAAATACCACTCACACATCATCACAAAATCTCCAGAACCGTAAAGCCTACAAACTTGCAAACCCCTCAAGTACTGGAAGACAGGCATCATGTCACCCCTAGTTCTTCTCTTCATCAGACTAGACATGCCTAAGTTCCCTCAATCATTCTGTTGTGGTTCGCTGGCAGCCTGTGCAGGTGGCAGCGGAATTGGACAATGGGAAAGAATGGGGACCAGTCTGGAAGTCTGGAGAGGACTCAGACAAAGGTCCTGCGTCCGATGCAGAGATGGGGCCAGGGCCATCTGGGAAGTGGGGTGCTGACTCCAGAGCCTCTGGAGTCTGGCAGCAACGAGGCAGAGGAACCGGGGGAGCCTGTTCCCAGTGCGTGTGTGCGCAGAGCTGCCAGAAGAAGAGAGCAAATGAAACAAAATGGGCAACTTGGGAGTAAGGCTGGCAGGTGATTGCCCCTCCCATAAGGGATAAAGGACAGGCAAAGATAATGAAACCTTTGCAGGAAGCAAAGTCGTTCATTCGGTTCAGATTCATTCTTGAAGCTCTTAGTACTTCAGTTGGTTTTCTTTCTAGTTCATTGGACACTTCTGTTATTGGCAGCACTTCACAGAAAGGAAAGGTGGGTGTTTATCTCGAGGGACTATTTGAGATTCATTACCAGGTGGGAATGAAAATAATTCCCAGCTTTGCAATAAAACAAGACTTGTTTTTAAAATAAATGTGTGCATAATTATGGACTCAGAAACCTTGGTCAGAACACATTCATTACATGGTTTCAAACTCTTTGGTCCTTGAGGTTGGTCTTTGGTCCTTCTCCTGCCCCACATACCTGATGACCGGAAGGTCCAATATTCGTCGTCATCAAAGTGGGTGTCTCCAGCAGTATAATGGTCTCCTGGGAAGAAAGCATGGGCTACCGTGCCCCCGGGGCCATCAAAGGGGTAGTCATCATTGTGATCGGTTTTGGAGAAGTCAATCTGGATGTCCGCATTGTTACCGGCCACTTCGTGGAAATTGAGGGGTGTGATGTCACTCCACACCTTCAAAGCGTAGTACATCAGGGCACGAACTGTGTCGTGGCCCAGGTGGGATTCTTTGGGGAACGTTCGAACCCTGAAAGAGAAGAACGAGGATCAATAATGCACCCTTCTTTCAAAGGGCGACGGTTGTCCCAAAGTTGCTTTTTTCCCCCCAAGAGGCAATTGGATTTTCTTGTTTTTTCTTTGAAGACGTTTTGCTTCTCTTCCAAGAAGCTTCTTCAGCTCTGACTGGATGGTGGGGAATGGAAGGATTTATACTTCTTGCAGATAGCTGGTCGTTTGCATCCTTTTAGAGGTTCGTTGAGGCCATTTGGAGGTTTATCTGTGTCATCAGTAATGCAAAGAGGGGTCAAAGAGGCCATCTATGTTAAAACTGAACAGCCTTCGCTCAACAGAGGAGGAGGGATATGACATCATCTCTCTCCAGTCTACAACACTATCCTTTTAGCAGTTCCAAGAAGGCTCCACACCCACTCGGGTGACCCTGAGGATACAGATAAACCTCCAAGTGGCCTCAATGACTCCCTTAAAGAATGCAGATGACCAGCTGTCTGCAAGCAGTATAAATCCTTCCATCCTCCACCATCCAGTCAGAGCTGAAGAAGCCTCATGGATGAGAAGCCAAACATCTCCAAAGAAAAACCAGAAAGTCCAGTTGCCCCTTGGAAAAAATCACCCGTCTTACAATCCTTCTTTCCACCACCACGATATATCTCTGTCTTTCTTAGCTTGTGGTCCTGCAACCAGCCAATTTGGAAAAAGCAAAAACAAACCTTAGCTAAGAATGTTGATAACCTAGAGGACAGGTAGTCCTTGACTTACAACAGTTCTGTTGTGGTTCGCCGGCAGCCTGTGCAGACGGCAGCGGAATCGGACAGTGGGGAAGAACGGGGACCAGTCTGGGAGTCTGAAAAGGATTTGGATGAGGGTCCTGCATCCGATGCAGAGATGGGGCCAGGGCCATCTGGGAGTGGGGTGCTGACTCTGGAGGCTCTGGAGTCTGGCAGCAGTGAGGCAGAGGAACAAGGGGAGCCTGTTCCCAGTGCATGTGTGTGCAGAGTTGCTAGAAGGAAAGAGCAGCTGGGAAAAAGAGGTGACTCGGGAGCGAAGCTGGGAGGTGATTGCCCCTCCCCTAAGATATAAAGGAAGTGCAAAGGTAGAGAAACCTTTGCAGGAAGCAAAGTCATTCGTTCTGTTCAGATTAAACCTTGAAGCTCTGTGTGGACTTTGTACTTCGGATGGTTTTTTACAGTTAATATGGCACTTTAGTTGTTGGCAGCAATTCAAAGGAGAGAAAGGTGGGTGCTTATCTTGAGGGACTGTTTGGGACTCATTACCGGCTGGGAATGAACATAATTCCCAGCAATGAAATAAAACAAGAGTTATTTTGACTAAGCATGTGCTTAATTTCGGTCTCAGGAAACCTTGGCCAAAACAAGTTCATTTAGTGATGGGTCAAAATGTCAAGGGCACTGAGCAAAGTGACTTATGACCATTTTGCAGAGTTACGACCTTTGCAGAATCCCCATGCTCGTGTGATCAAAATTCAGAGGCTTGGCAACTGCTTCATATCTATGACCATTGTCGTATCCCGGGGATGAGTGATCCCCTTTTGCGACCTACTGACAAGCAAACTCAATGGCGAAGTTAGATTCACTTAACGATCGGGTTAGTAACTTATCAACTGCCTATGATTCACTTAACAACGGGGGCAAGAAAGGTTGTTATATGGGGCATAACTCACTTGACAAATGTCTCACTTATCCATGGAAATTTGTGGATCAACGATGGCAAGTTGAGGACTCCCTGGAGTAAGGCCACTGTGCTTATTTAACTCCGTTAAGTTCTTTATGGCTTACCAAAAAAAAAAAAAGCAATAAAACCAGCCAATTATTTAAAAATGAAGCACGATGGCTAGTTAAAGAAAGCCGAGCTGATCAATAAAGTAAATTTTAATTCATTTGTTTAAAGCCATGCATCTGTCGCCATTGATAAAGCAGCCTATACATCATGCGCCGCATTTCCGCAAAGAGCCTCTGCTACAGCTAAAAACATGGACCTGCTTATCGAGAGCTGGCCCGACTCAAGTACTGTCCGTAGAAGTGGGGAGCTTCGCAGTTTTTTAACAATCTGTCCAGAGCTGGTGTTTTATTCCCTGCCTCCCGGAGCACGCTGGTAAAATGATTTATTGAAAAAGTGATTTGTTTTTGTGAGCAAAGCTCAACTCTCAACAGTTGCCATAAACCACTGGAAAAACCAATCACCCTTTCTTCGCAGATAATGCAGCATTATGAGCTTAGCTTTATGGAGTAACTGCATTTTTTTTCTTTTTTGGAAATCCTGTAAATCCATCAACCTTCCTTTCTTCCTTCCTTCCTCTCTCTCTCTCCCTTCATCTTTCCTTTCCTTTCCCTTCTCCTCCTCCCTCCCTTCCTTCCTCCCTCCCTCCCTCCCTCCCACCTTTCATCTCCTTCCTTCCCTTCCTTCCTCTCTCTCTCCCTTCATCTTTCCTTTACTTTACTTTCCTTCCCTTTCCTTTCCTTTCTCCTCCTCCCTCCCTCCCTTCATCTCCTTCCTTCCTTCCTTCCTTCCTTCCTTCCTTCCTTCCTTCCTTCC